TGCAGTCAGGGTGGGGGGCATGGGGGGGCAAGGCAGGAGCTTGAATCAGAAACACAGAGGGACCTGCTTACCCAGCAAGCTCCCTTATCCACCTGCCTGGGATAGCATAGACCACCGGAAATAGCACTCCTATGCCAACTAGTGATTAGGAAAATGTCTCACAGATACTCCACTGGCCAATCTGATGAACTTCTCAACCCTAAGCCCTTCCTCTCAGGTATGTCTAAGTTTGAGTTAAATTAACAAAACAAAACAGCACAAAACTCCTCATTCCAAATGCTAACACACTTAGTTTGACAAAGCTATAAAGAGAAACAAAGCTACCAAAGAAAAGTTTTATGTAACAAAGGTTTAATTGTCTCTGGACACCCTGGGGTGTAAAGAAGCTACATAACCCTCAGACCTGGGACAAACTTCTGATCTCTGGGAGTCAATGAAATACTTGAGCAAACAGAAATACTACACGAGGCCCAGGTCAACACAAACCACTCCACATACTCAGTAAGACACTCAAGCTAGCTAGAACTAGATTATGTCCTAACAGTCTACAGGCTGATTTGGTGGAGAGGAGCTGTATGTCTTACTTCATATGGAGTCATTCTTTTCAGCATTAACATAAAATAAAAATGCAAAGAAAGACAGCCTAACTTTGCTTTCTCTGACGCTCTCAAAGGCTCTTTAGCATCTTCAAGGGTCTTTGGATGAGCAGTGACATTGTAACCTTAGTACATTTTAGAATGTGTAAGATACAAGGACAGGCTCTGAAACATAAAATGTAAAATATAAGGACAGTCCACTAAAACATATGGTTCTAGAAGGCCTTGCCCTTTTCTTCCATTCCCTCGCCTTGCTAAAAACCATCAGATTACATTCTTAAAGCTAGCTACCCTTATTAGACCACATCTTTGACCCTTTGTTTCACTAATTAACATGCCTAATTAAATTAACCACCTGGTCCTAACACGGGTTTCCGCCTTCACCTGTATAAACTGCTTTTGCCCATGTGCCAAGGCAGTCGCTTTAACTTTCCTTCCCACGTTATAAAGGATCTTGCTGAAGATAGGCATTGCTCGGGGAGGGGGGTTCTCCTTCAGGCTCAATGTGCATGGACACAATGCCTGAGGCTATTGCCTGCTCATATGGCTCCTCACCCCCTACCCCAACCCCCACCCCCAAGACCAGGCTGGCCTTGAACTCACATGGATCCACCTGCCTCTGCCTCCCGAGTGCTGGGATTAAAGGCGTGCGCCACCACTGCCCGGCTTGCCCAACTATTTCTTTAAAGAGCTCCTCACCCCCACATGGGAGAAGTACCAACCAGAGGCACAGCCCTGCATCACCCCGGGCCTTCCTGGTCCTCCGGGTTTCCCCCTGCAGCACTGTGCTGCCACAGGAGATGTGAAGCGAACTCACAATCTCCCAAGGCCTCGGGAGCCGCCTTCAGCTCCTGCTCCCAAAGGTCAGTTCACTCTTGAATGACTCCGTGCCTCCTCCGTTTCCCAGTCTCATTTCACAGGCAACCGCTGTGTGCCGAGTCACATTCTTCAGCAGCCCTGACCCAGGATCGCTTATGACTCCTCTTTTATCACCAGGTCCAAAATCTTTCTCAAGGATAGTGTTCTTATTCTAGCAACGAACATCAAAGCATCGGACACAAACACTCTGAGAGCGAGCCCAGGCACCCCCGTCATGGGGGACGGTGTCCCCACGAACAAGCTCATCTCTCACAGGATGCGATACACAGAAATGTCGTACCTGTGTGGATATTATGGAACCTGTGGGTGCAATCAGGCCTGGACCATGTGCTCCCGAGTATGTATGCAGCTTGGATGTCTGTTGGTTTTGTTCTTGTTTAGGAGGGGTGCAGACAGACAGCTGGAGGCAGGGACTTATGTGTGCTAGGTGAGTAAACTCTACCACTGAAGTAGTGTTGACAAACTCGGGGCAGGCTCTCCAGGAACTGGGTGTCCATCTGCCTCAGACTTTTGGCCTAGAGGCACGCACAACGATGCTCAACTTTGTTTTCAGCAAGTGTTTTAAAGGTCTGTAAACATAAAAACCTCCAACCCCATCAGGCTCATAAGATGCAAATGCCATATTTTAATCAGCCAAAAGCCAGCACGTTCTCCCAGGATTGAGCTGTTACTCTTTCCTCTGAGACCCACCCAAATTAGACACTGGATACTGCTGAGTATGTTCTTCATCCTGGAGAGCCCTGGCTTCTTGACCACACTCTTAGTCTACCTAGCCCGCCCTCCTCACTACTTGTTACTGTACTTCCTGTTACACACCAGTCAGTTACATGGCCTGAAGCAAGTTTACATAAAACTCTGGGCTAACCAGGTACCTATAGTGATGCTCTGAGCCTACCCACCCAACCGTGAGCTATCCAGGTACCTGAAGTGATGCTCTGAGCCTACCCACCCAACCGTGAGCTATCCAGGTACCTGAAGTGATGCTCTGAGTCTACCCACCCAACCCTGAGCTATCCAGGTACCTGAAGTGATGCTCTGAGTCTACCCACCCAACCCTGAGCTATCCAGGTACCTGAAGTGATGCTCTGAGTCTACCCACCCAACCCTGAGCTATCCAGGTACCTGGAGTGATGCTCTGAGTCTATCTACCCAAACCTGAGCTATCCAGGTACCTATAGTGATGCTCTCAGTATCCCAACTGCTTCCCTTTCTAACCTCATCTCATACTTTCTCTTTATGCTCCGTAGTTAGCCATCTCCTACCCTAGAATGTGTTCCTCACACACCTCCACTTTACAGCCCACTCTAACACCTGCACTCAACACACACACACACACACACACACACACACACACACACACACGCACCAAAGCTGACACAGTCTCTCCCAGAAGTCCTCAGCATTCTCTAGTTTCCCACAGTATCTTAATGGCTACTTGTAAACATTTTTCTTTCCCATAACAGGACTCACATATTTATTTTCCCCAAATCACACACATCTAAGTCACAACAGGCACTCAGGAAACAGTGCTCTGAATTAATGTGTAATGAGTTCATAAAAGTCACAAAGCCATAGGTATAACCAGCCGGAAAAATCTGTGGGAATTTCAAGTACCCATTTTACAATGGAAACACAATTTTCTGTCTTGCAAAGAAAAGAAAACACACACACCACCCTGATAATGTATTTGGCCCAGGAACACTCCTTTCAAAACAGCATCTTAATGTCTAGTGTGCAACAGAAGCCAAGACATATGGAATGAGTTTCCTAGCAAGAACATATGGATTTTATAAGAAACAGCAAAGGGGCCAGGGAACTATGATCTCCAAAGCAGAGAACTTTGTCTTTTCCTCACTCCAAACCCAGCTGGAGCTCTTCTGCTTTAATAATATGGCATTTCCCCTTTGCTTTGCTGATTTTCAAACACCCAACATTTTTCCCAATCCTGGGAAGGAAAATGAGCACTGACAGAAAAGAAAAACCCCTTCCTCGAGTCCGTGAGTCTCCTGCCTGCTCTGCCCACTCTTCCCTCTCTGCCCACTGGCCTCAGGCTGGGCCTCTGAGCCCTGTAGCAATGTTTTCCCTCCTCCCCAGCCTCTTAACCCCTCCAGTCCCTCTCTTCAGTGCTTCCTGGTCCTAAACATCTACCAAGGGGCTGCTCCCTCCCTCACTGCTGTCCAGTCTGATGGGGGGGTCCAGGCTGCTGGAGCCACCTCTCCTCACAGAAAGTGGAGCCACCACAGAAGGCACACGTGCACACGACGTGAAATTCTCAGGACAAGAAGAGGGGTAAAATTATGTAAACTAGGAAAGGTCCAAAACAGGCTAGGACTTGCCATCTGTACCCCATGCAAAAGTGCTTTTCTGTTACACTGTGAGGGCCTCTTCTTGACAGGAAGAAACTTAGTTTTGAGGTGTGCAGGAGGTGAACAAAGCAAAACTGGGCATCTAAAGCCATTCGTGTGTGTGCACACTCACACATACATGCACGCACACACACACATGCACGTGCACACTCACACACACACACATACACACATACACACACATGCACTGAGTGAACCCCAAGAGAAGTCGGCTACATCCTAACACACACTGCCATGGGACAGACTACACACCAGCCAGGGTCACACTGAGGGCTGAACTTAGGTACCAAATCCTCTGGGATCTGAGGGGAATCTCCCCCACACTCCAGGCTGAAGTGCTCAAGCCCTAGCCAGAGAGAGGCAAAAGCAATGCATCCTTCTTGGTGAGCAATGCTCAGGGCTGGCTCGTGAGAGGGAAATTCTCACGTACTTCTCATGACAGAGGAATTCGCCTTCCTCTCTCTTTCTTTCCTGTGGGAAACCAGCCTCCTCTTATACTCACTATTTCATGATTTACTACGCTTCCACAGGCCCCAGACAGCAAGGCCACAAGAAACCTTCCTAGAAACCTCTGGAACCATGAACCACAATGCGTCCCTCTTCCTTGTGAGTTGTCACAGAAGCAGAAAGGTGACCACTTTCCCCTAAGCTGAAAAGACTTCACTTGCTGGGCGTTGGTGGCGCACACCTTTAACCCCAGCACTCGGGAGGCAGAGGCAGGTGGATCTCTGTGAGTTCGAGGCCAGCCTGGTCTAGAAGAGCTAGTTCCGGGACAGCCTCCAAAGCCACAGAGAAACCCTGTCTCGAGAAAAAAACAAAAACAAAAGACTTCACTTGACCAAAAGCATACGGGTGTGACTAACACATAAAATTTGGCAAGGAATGAAAATATTGTTTTAAAAAAAAGCCTAACCCATCTGCAATCACAATCACATTGGCACTGCCTATTCATTTGCATCTGGGTACAATGTTTCCTCAAAAAAGCAATGAGGTAAGGGGAGGCCCAGCAAGGGTCAGCTTCAGATACTCCTTCACAAGATGGCTGAAAAAATTCACTTCTTAGGAATAAACTCACAGCAATACTGACTAATAACAAAGCCATGCACATGTAAACAAGCCAAACTCATAATACTATTAGAGAGGAAAAAGACAACCGTACCTTCTCATGGTTTTCAATTAAGATTTCTACGACAATATTCTGAAACTTCAAATCCATGATGGCAGCAACAGTTTCTTCCTGTGGTCGCATCAGAGTTGGTCCAAACACCACTCCTAAATTTGCCACGGTCATTAGATTCTGTTTCGAGTGATTTGACACACTAATATTGATGAAGAAGGAAAACAATCTTAGTTTGGTGGTGGTAACTATAGAGTTATTCAATATTCTGTAACTCTGCATTTCCTTAAGGTACAAAAATGCAAAAGACTCAAACTGTCCTCAGAAGCTGCCTGCGACACCTGGACCACAGAGCAGCCTGCTCCCAGAAGCTCTTTGCTCTCTTCCCAGCTCCCCCTCCCCAGCCTCTCCCTCCTCCCTGTGGTAACCAGTCTCCTCAGCCATAGGCTCCTTCCATCACCGGGACTCACCCCATGCCCAGAGCAATAGAGCCAGTGACCTAGGGCTGAAGTCCCTCAGACGGTAAGCGAGGGCAGGACAAAGTTTCCCTCCTCTCAGTTCCCTCTCAGGTGTGTGTGGAAAGCTGACTGACCCAGCTGGAGGCCTTGCCAAGGCGACGGGAAGTTCTGGGAAGCTGTTCCCACTGACATGCTTGCAAGCTCATTTCTAAGCAGCCGTTCCTTCAACAGCCCTGCCATCATTTTTTCATATGTACTAGCTCAATACTAAAGCTAAGTGGATTTAATTAGACGTAAAGATTGTGCGGTTGTCGTGAACCAATGATTGAAAATAAAAGTGGAATTTCCTGAATCAACTGCATTTTGTTTGACAAGAATAAGTCATCTTGCTTGTCATTCCCTCGAGCATGTCTTCCTCCGCCAAACACACATTCACTATGTGTTAGCTACCCACGGAAAAGGGCAGCTTAGGACACGCCCCTTTCCTCTGACCATCATCCCATCGCTAAGGCAGACGTTAGGGCCTTGCAGCTTCCTGGCACTGTCCGTTCCATGAGCACCGTCCTTCACTCATTCCTGCCCTGCCGCTCGGGAAGTGCACGGTGCTCTCGGGAGCACCATGCACGGTGCTCTCGGCCATCCTACCACTAAACTCAAGACTCCATCCCATCAGAGGCCATCCACACTCAGGCTCTCCATCATCTTAACACAACTTGCTCTTTTGCCCACTGAGCTGAAATTACTTCGGCATTTGCTGTAATGTGTTTCTTTTCTCCGTATGCTTCACATAGTAGGGCGTCATTTATCTTGTCCGACTATGTGTCCACTGGCACTTCCCAAAGACACTAGGTTGCATTTAGAGAAGCCACAGTTCCAAACTTGTTCCTTACTCAAATTTTACAGGTATAGTGAAGTGGGAGTTGTTTTTATTCGAAAAGGCAAATTTCTCCACTGTGTCAATACAATCTGCTCTACAGACAGGAAACATGAATGGACCAGACTCAGTCTGTTAGCAGACTGACAATCGTATGTCCACAACCTGTGATGGGGCAATACACAACATGCTCTCCTCTCACTGAGATGTTGCCCGTGGGGCTAAGCAAATAATACACAGTGTCAACAGGCATTCCGTCTCACCACCCTGTCCAAAAGACACAGTGAGGCAACTGTCCAGCCTGGCCCCCAGGTGTGGTTCCCGGGACTGGGGACACACAGCTCCAAGGGCAATGCACAGTGCCCACAGCACCGAGGGAAAGCTGAGAGAGGAAAGAACACTCACTTGGTTAGGTGCTTCACCAAGATATCCAACATCTCCTTATTCTTCTCTGGCAGTTTGTGTACCAAGAAATGGATGGCATTAACACGGGACTCGGGGCTGCCACTTTCTGTTTTAAAAAGGGAAAGGGAAAATGGTGAATAGAGTACTTAGAATCAAACACATTACTCGTAACTGGAAATTCTAACAGCCTGCCTGCTCAGGATCTGAGAAGAGAGGGTGTTCCTTTCCCAGTGCATGCCTTCCCTGGTTGGCGTTAACAACCTCTCCCCTGTCCAACATCCCTCTAGTCAGCTCACAGTTCTGTCCAGCGTTTGGCAACCCACCAGGAAACACAAGTCCATTAACAGCAACAGGAGCCTCTTGGCTACAGGGTCAAATGAGTATCCCCAAAATACATGCTCAAGTTGCATCATTTAGGTGCCTCGGAAAGGGATAGTTCTAAACCGAGCCCATGGTGTCTTTTGATGCTGTACAGTAACAAGTGGGAGCAAGTGCACAAAGGAAAAAATGTGCACTTACTATACCAACAGGAAGCACACAAGCCACGCAGAACCCTGCAAGAAAGTGCTATGTTGAGTCAAGGCACACGCAGAAGGAAGTTCAGGGTAGGGGGTCCCTACAATAGGTACTTCTGGAAGAGTCCGGTGAGGCATGGCAGGGAGGGCTACTACCACTGGCACTCTCACTTCTGAGGGCTCGGTCCCTGGGGGATGCAAGAGTGGAACTTGAGAGCACATAGCTCCTTTGCGTTGATTATCAGTCCACGAAGAGCAAAGTGGAGTTTGTGACTAGGAACTGGATAGCCGGGCAGGACACAGACGGTTCCAAATATCAAATACCAGAAACAAAAGAAATGCTTAATACAGAGGCTTTATATAAAAGTTTACAGATGCCAACTAAGATAACTGTATGGGGGCTGGAGAGATGCTCAGTGGTTAAGAGCATTGGCTGCTCTTCCAAAGAACCTCGATTCAAATCCCAGCACCCACATGGCAGCTCACAACTATCTGTAACTCCTGTTCCAGGGGACCCAATGCCTCACACAGACACAGATGCAAGCAAAACACCAATGTTCATAAAATGCAAGTAATTTTTTAAAAAAGATGACTGTATAATGTAAGATTGTTAATAAGAACATAATTTCAAGTCATTGCTTTGATTTTTAAATAACAAAATAAAAGCAGAAATTGAAGAAGCAGTCATAGGCTCCACACTCAACAGGAATTTAGAGCTCTCAAGGCTTTGCAATGAAGGACTACTAGCCCAGGAGTCTACCCTGATTCTAGCAAGCAGCTGCCCTCAATAGAAATCTAGTTTGATATTTCAGGACTCATCACCTAGATACAAGCCGAAGAGATAGGTTTCCCACCTCCTAGAGATGATACTCTTCACTTCAGCAATGACCAGCATTTGAAACCTGTCTGAGAAAAGAGGAGAGCCTTCCACGTCATGTCTCAAGTCCCTCTTCCTAGAAACCTCCTGCGGTCCATTAAACATCCCCCCCCTTCTCTCTCTCACACACACTCTTTTCCTGTGTCTGCTTTTTTTCAGCTTGTCGACTTCCATCATTCTGACATCAAATCTTTCAACTAATAGGCATTTCCACAAGGTAACATAGTCCTCCCCACCCAAAACTCTTGCTAAGATACACTATTTTCTGTTATTGATGCTATGGCAGTTTGCTATATTTTCATTGATATTAGCTGACGACAAATAAAAAGCATATCATTTTGTCTATGGCACTTAATTAAGCATACAATAAATTCCTGTAACGTGCCAGAGACTTAAGTTTGCTGTGACAGAAAAATACAGGATTGGGGAACCACAGATCAGCACCTATCACACTTCCGTGTCTATCTGCTTATGATGTCATTAACAGCCGGGGCTGCAGATACGAGCAAGCTTATGAGAGCTTAAAAATCACTCAGGCAGACTGTTCAGTATTTTAATACGCAAATGGTATGTGTCAATAGTATTATAATGTAAGAAAGTTACCAGCAGTAACCTTCCAAGCAGTTCCTAGGGGACACACCAGCTTCAGTCATCACATAAAACAGTACTGCAGTCCTGTGGTCCTCACCTACTATAAAATGAGCATGCCTGGTTATGAGAAGCAGGCAATATTACATACTCAATCCCTGTAATGTCCACATTTCTGCATCCTTCCTTGTGTGTATTTTTCCAGCAAGAATGGAATGGAATGCTCTGGTTATGCAAATACCAAGCACTGGATCCTACATTGCTTTTCATCAGAAATGGCTGTGGTTACTCAGTAACCACAAGTAACCTGACTACAGAAAGCAAAAACACAACACAGCATTCTAGTTTGAACAACAGGTGGGAGGCAGGTTCTCAAGCCCCAACACCAGGCAGGCAGCCAGGATTAAGCTGTCTATCTCATGCTAAGGCCAGTGTGAGTCAAACCCCGCAGGATGGGTCCATGCTCACCACCGACATGCCAAGGACTCTAAGGCTATAGAGCATGGATGCCTTCATTCTCAAGGGCAACTGGCTTGACAGGGGAAGGTCTCCAGGTAGATGCTACCAGCTTTGCATGGGTTGACACAATCCTTTGAAGTATCGCACAGACCGATTCAAGACATTTGTAGCTTATGGATTTCTTTTCCTAAAAGTACAGTATAGTTTCTCATGGATAGGTGCTTTTAGTTCTTTTAGTAAACCTCATGAATACAGTTAACAGCTTAAGGCTTTCAAATTGCTGAAATCGAAAAATGTTTCCAATGTGTTAAGTACTGAACAGTTGAGTTTCTCTTTTACAATAAGAAAGAAAAAGGGAGTAGGAGTTGTCATTGATCCCAGAAGGAAAAGGACTCAAGTCAAGCATTCTCTGGTGAGATTAAAACCACGTGGTAATACTTAGATTAATAGGAATGGGTTAATAATTAAGACAGAGCTAGCCAATAAGAATCCCAAGCCAACTGTCAACAGCTTTATAACTACTATGGTGTCTGAGTGTTCATTTGGGGCTGACACGGCAGTGGGCCCAGGCTGGCAGGAAGATTGCTCGTAACAAAATGGTGCCCAGAATTGGGGCACAAATTTCCACTTAAAACCTGACAAAAGCTTAAAAAGGGATTTTAGAAGCAGAAGAACACAGGAAAGAACGGCTTCTTGGTAGCAGCATTTTCCTGGATGGTCTCTGTTTTGCTAGAGACAAGCAGACGCTCACAGCTGCTTTAAGGTAGGTTTCCTGACTCAGCAAAGCTCTTACCAAGCTATCAAGTGTTGTGAATAAAGGAAAAAAGAAATAGAGTAGCTGGGTAGGGTGATGCATGCCTTTAATCCCATCACATGGGAGGCAGAGGCACGCAAATCTCTGTGATTTCAAGGCCAGCCTAATGTACAGAGTGAATTCCAGGAAATGCAAAAATAAACAGAGAACCCCTGTCTCATAAAATGAAAAGAAAAAAAATAAAGAGTAGTAAAAAAGGCATGGAAAGATGGAAAGTATACAGAGAGTCTGGATACTACATGCTATTGTGTTGTCTTTGAATTATTTAATTGCTGGGGAAGGAGCAACAACTGCTAAAAGATATTTGATTATAAATCCTGCTGGATTATTCGAACCTATGTATTTTAAAAATGCTTTGACTTCAAAATTTAAGTCTAAGGACAGGTTACTTTGGAAAAGAGGCTTTTTGTTTGTTTGTTTGTTTGTTTGTGTCCACAGAAAATGAAAAGGTGCAGATTCCTTCCAGATTAATATGGTTTGATCAAGCAAGACCCCCTGAAGCAGTGGCCCAGGTGATCCCACATCTACAACAGCTGTGACGATGCAGCCTTGCAGACTATTACAACAAGGACTTGGCCAGGTTTCTGTGTTTTCTAGGATCCCCCAAACAGCAGGAAACAGTTTAGAGAGAATGACACCCACATTTCCAAATATTGTTTAAAAATGTTTGTTTTCATTTAAATAGGGCTGATTAAAAATGGTTAATGATCACAGTCAATCTTCTTTTAAAGAAAAAAGGGGGATATGATATAGACATGAATACTTTGCATTGGTATAGATTTTCATGTATTGATACAAATTTAAGACCAATTTTGTTATATGTATATTTCTCCTCTTGTATTATGTTTATACAGAGCTTTTAAAATGTAATGCATAATTAAATACAGATTATATATAGTCACCTATAATAGTCAAACTTATACCTAGGTTAGTTAGGTTTTCTAGATACACAGATATATTTGAGAAGGATAGGTATTCTTCAAACCTTTCGAAGACCTACAGAATATGGCATTTAAAATGGTTTAGGGTTTTTCTTGACAGTGAGATACAACTGCTCCTGGCAACACCAATTACATCTGAGAGGAAGATGGACACCGAAGAAACTTGTTAATGGAGTTTGCCTTTGACATGGCAAGACTAGCTATTTGGGCAAGAAACCACTCTTGCCTGGACTGTTTGACTGTTGCTGTATAAAATGGATATGCAGGACCCACAGGAAAGTGACTGCTGAACTTGCAAAACAAAATGGCCAGTCTCAGGGTCCCTGCTTCATGGAAGAATCTTCCAGACATTCTGCAGGACACAGAGAAAAATGACTGACAGACTGCAGGTACAAGTGGACAGTTTAAAGTTTCCTGCTCTGCTGAGAAGTCTGCCAGACACACTGTGAAGAGGCAGAGTGATAGGTGGGAGTAGGAGACAAGGAGGATTCTGGGAAGCATAGGCAGAGTAGGAGTCATCATGTGATCCCAGGAGGAGAGGATGAGAATCAGGTGTTCTCTGGTATGATTAAGACTATGCAGAAATACTTAGATTAATAGAAATGGGTTAATAATTAAGACAGAGCTAGCCAATAAGAAGCCCAAGCCACCGGCCAATAGCTTCATGACTGAAAAAAACAAACAAACACAAAGATACACATTTTGTTATAAGAACACAGAATCAAATTCTTTGTATTATCAACTTGAAAAGCTCACATTCTCAACAGAAAATGACAGGAAAGAAAATTAAGGCAGCCAGGAGAAGCCTTCAGACCCCTCAGTGAAGGGGAGAGCACATTATCAATATCACAGAACACACAGCAACCACCACACAGTGGAAAAGAGTCAAAGATTAGCTCCCATGCCAGTGTGTGGGGTCATTTTAATCGTCAGCTACTCACAGACATCGCAAAACAAGGTAAGCTGTGCTGTTCTCAATGGGAAATGATAATTAAACCACAATCCCAGGTCACCAATATTCAAAAGGAGAGTAATTTTGGCCATCTGATTTCTGTAACTGCATTCAAAATTTCTAAATACATATGCAAAATGCAAGGCCCTGTCCCAGGAGGCATCAAGTGTAGAGGAAGGTAACTCACAGAAAAGAAGAGGAGAAATCCAGCTCTGCCCTAAACACATACTGAACCCCTCAGAAAACCCATTTAACAAGTGCAGCTTTCCTTGTTAAACTAGAGTAGCGTGGGTCCCCTCCAACTGCAACTGCACATAGGTCCAAACGTCCATAGGTATGAGTCCATGCCAGTAACTACAGGAGCCGCAGGGTTCATTTACATAGCCTTGTTATTCAAATCAGTATGAAAACTATTACAGCAAGGCCACGAGGTCAGGAAAACAAAACACTGGGTATGGACCCAACAGGTGACACACACAGTTTAATAGACCAGCGAATCCCACCATCTCAGGCTTCCTTACCTCCTGATGGGTAGCAACTTCCTCATCTGATACAAGACATTTGGCATTAGATTCTGAACACTCCACTGCTAGTCCCACATGGCAATAATTCTTGTGACACTAACTTTAGTGATGTAAAACCTCATTCCATAATCACTCTGTCTTTCTCCAGAATGCAAAGATGGAAACTAGCACGCTTCAGCTTTTCCAGGCTATATGACGAACAGCTCCAAACTGTCCTCCAAGTAAATCTAATTTCTTTCTTGTTGGACCAAAATATGTCACAGGGAAGAAATCAAACTACTAAGCATTTAGTTGTGTTTTTGCCAAGACAACTTTCCCCACTTCCTTGGCCATACAAATTCTCTTTTTTGGAATAAATCTGAACACAAGTGTATCTGGCCTTTCCCAAAGGATTCCTTTCTGTGTGTCATGTAACGCTGCCAGCCCAGTGAACTCTTTCTGAAACAAATTAGGAATCTTACACAGTCTGGAGCCGTGCCCGCACAAGAAGGTAACAACCAAAGCCGTATTCGGGCAGCAGTGGTATAGGACCCAATAGGATTGCTGTAAGTTTTTCAACAAATTAAACTATGAAATTTACCCAGGAGGTGTGGGCACAATTTCAGCTACGGTCAATGAGCCTATGAAAACAAACACTGCAGAGTCCAGCCAGCGGAGGGAAGTTTTAATTTTAAGTAAGGGTTTCTACAACCTGTCAACCTCAGTTTCCTAGACCCTGAGCTCCCTGGCATCGGTACCCTTCAGAAGAATGGTTAGCAGCATGAACAAGAGCAGAGCTGTCTGACAGAAACATGCCCAGTTCTGCCGACCCCAGCTACACTCTCATCACACTGCAGACACAAAGTACTCATGGGTATAGGAGTCAGAAAATACCTCACCTCAAATTAAAATTCACCCGTTCTTGGCCTTTTTCATTCAACATATATCATACACAATTCATTATCAAGTAGTTATCTCAGGATACTCCTCTGACTGTGTGGTCTATGTAGATGTCTTTACAAGTGAAACTGTCTCCAGTCTATCTGCCATTTCTCCAAGCTCCTACAGAGGTCCTGTGGTCTTCTGTTCATGCCAATACTAGGTATCCACAGTGTAATGAGAGTCTGATGCAGACAGAACTGGCCCCTGTAGCCAAAAATCTGCTGTGGCCTGACCCGACTAGCATCTACCAGAGTCAAAGTAACAACAGGCAATTGTTAATGCTCATGGGTGATCTGCTACCAAATCTTTTTGCTATCTTTTTATTTATTTTTATTTTTATGTGCATTGGTGTTTTGTCATGGGTGTTGGGTCCCCTAGAACCAGGATTACAGACAGTTGTGAGCCACCATGTGGGTGCTGGGAATTGAACCCTGGTCCTCTGGAAGAGCAGTCAGTGCTCTTAACCACTGAGCCATCTCTCCAGCCCTTGCTCAGTTTCTAAAGGAAGAAAAACATCCATCCTCTAAAGCGGTCTTTGCTTCTAACACAGATGGTAATACTATTGAGTTAAACTTTCATGTGGAAATTTTTTGTGTGCACACCATCAACCACAAATCTGAGTCTTTGTATATCCACATAATACTTACTGGCTGGAACAATGAAGTCTCTATGTAACTCATAGGTCATAAGAGGTTCTGGAAGACTCCTGGAGGGAAAAGAAAAACACAGTTTAATCACCAAACAATCCAAACAAGTCATCTCTGACTTACAACATTACATTAAACTGCGTGTGCATGTCTGCATTAACCTTTAAATAGCAAAAGACGTGGAAACACAACTGTTGATTCTCCTAGACACCGCCAACTAATAACCAGTCACAAATTCTTCTCAGGTCTAAGCACGCCATGTTTCATATCTCATCTCGAAAAGTACCTTTATAAACATCTCACTTTGCATATAAGAACTTCATATGCTGACATATTTAACTTATTGTATATAACCAAATATAAGCAGAGTTTTGAAAGGCATCAGTAAAATATTGATTCCAAAATAATACACATAAAATGCTAAGAAATGTAAAGCAAGCACCCTCCTCTTGATATTTCTATTGAAATAACTGGTATCAATTTTAATGCCTAAGCACATGCAGAATACTGGTTCTCAACCTGTGGGTCACGACCCTTTGGGTCACACAGCAGACATCCTGCAAGTCGGATATTTACACTATGATTCATTACAGTAGCAAAACTACAGCTATGAAGTAGCAACAAAAATGTTTAAGGTTGGGAGTCACCACAACATGAGGAACTGTATTAAAGGATCACAGCATTATGAATGTTGAAAAACACTGATTCAGAAGAAACATTTAACAAGAAAACTGATGGCTTTGTAATCTATGGCTGTGAAGCAGGGAGATAAACTCAAACTGATGACAATGTAAAAATATATACAGCATTTATTTTTGTTTTTGCAAACTGCATTATGCAAACAGTGGCATATTTTATCCTGTGAGTAGCTCGATGCTGAACTTCAGTCAATCCTGTTAAAACCTTTAACTCTGCCAGGCCAGGTTTGTTAACTGCATCAACCCCCAAGAACAAGGGTCAATCTGCAGAACTACTCTGAAGGGCAAAGAGCCATAAACCTGGGACTCAGAGCTCCCCTCTAAATGTTTAAAAACACAGTCAAATACACATGAGCACTCAAGCATCCGCACCCACGCATGTGCGCACACTTAAACATAGATGCAAAAGCTACAAATAATGCCGGGGATAAGGAAGGCTGCTCCACGCTGACGAAAGGGCTGACTCCTTGGGAGCAAAACAAGCATTCACTCATAGATCAAGCAGCAGAGCTTCCCAGACACAAGCAAAATCTGACAAGACTGCATGGGGTGGGCAAACGCACAGAACACGTGCAAAGAAAGTAAGTTAGGACACAGAATGTTTGAGTAAAACAACCCACCCCTTCCACCTAACTGCATGTCCTTTAATTAAATGACTAACCCAAAGCAATATACACAGACCCGGTAGATGGGCAGTTTGCTTTGCCAGAGAAACTATACGCTGGACTGTGAAACAGATCTCTGTCAACTGTACGAAGTTCAAGTCCTATGCAGTTCTCTGACTTCAACAAAAAGAGAGGCGCTGAGGAGGTGGGTCAGTGGGTAAGGTGTTTGTGACACAAACATGGGGTCCCAAGCGTGGGCCCCAGCAGCCATATCAGAGGCTGAGTGTGGTGCTACACACATATCATCTGTCTGGGAAGGCAGACACACAAACATCCTTCTAGAGCTTGCTGACCAACCAATCAATAAGCTCCAGGCTCAATGGAATACCCAGTCTCAAAAACCAAGGCAAAGCCACACTCCATCTAAGAGTCTACATGGTGGTGAATAAGTTCACACGTCAAGAAAATTCTGGACACTGAGGAAGTTCATACTGAAAGAACTATGAGGCGACAAGATAAATGTATTAGAATGACTAAAGTAAGAGAAGCTGACAATATTCAGAGGACACGGAGAGGGCAGGTCCTGTACACTACTGTTGAAGGAGTTCTTTCCCACCTGGTCCCACAGCTGATTAGTCCCAAATAAACACACAGAGACTTATATGAATTATAAACAAATGTTTGGCCAATGGCTCAGGCTTCCTATTGGCTAGCTCTCTCTTCACTTTTAACCCATTTGTATTAATCTAAGTATTTCCACATGCTCTCATCTTACTCAAGAATGCTCCAGCATGCTTGGCTACATAGTGACCCTTGGCAGCCTCTCTCCGCACCCAATTCTCCTCATCTGGTCGCCCCGCCTATACTTCCTGCCTGGCTACTGGCCAATCAGTGTTTTATTCGCCAACCAATAAGAGAAACATATATACAGAAGGACATTCCCCATCACACTATTGGTGAGGAATGCAAGGAAGTGCATCACATTTGGAAAAGCCCATCAGTTTCCAAAAAAGTTAAACATATACCTCCCACGTGGTCCAGGTGTTTGCCCACTACAATTTATCCAAAAGAAATGAAAACCTTTGTCTCAAAGATTTCTACAGACATTTAAGCAGCTTTATGCATAACAGCCAAGAGCTACAAGAGCTACAGACCACCCAAATGCACAGGAATAGATCAACGGATGCCAACATGCCACAACAATTACTCTAAGTCAAACTGATGTTTTCTGAAGTACATATTGAACACTTCCACTTATAAAGATCATAATAATGCAAATTAACACATAAAGACAGGAAGCAGATAAATGGTTACCTACTGATGAAGCCATGAAGGAGGAACCCAAAGGAGACTGGAAGGAGGTTTAGAAGGGTGATGGACAGGCTCCGTCCCTTGGTTATGGCGATGGTTTCACAGGAGTTTAAAGGTATCAGGCTTATGGGGATATACGCTATAAATATGTGCAGCTCACTCCAAATAATTACACTTCAAAAAAAAGCTGTGAACGGTACACATACCTCAATGTTTCTACTTAGAATAAAAATACAGGTGAGATTTATGAAGAAAAGCTACTCACAAAACAAAGCCATATTAAAAAATGTTTGAGGACAATGTTTGTTACACACAGCTTGGGTGCCAGTATGACCAGGCACACCAAGCGGCACTTGCCAACAACGACAACCATAGGCGAGAGAACGAGCTGCCTCGGCTCCTCCTCTCTGCCCTGTCCTTTCCCTTCCTAATTAAAGGAAACAGCACAGCCTCCACCAAGAGAACGACGGGCAAGGAGAGGTCAAGTCCCCGGCTCATGTCCAAGTCTGGACAAGCAGAAAGTCACGAGGGAAAGGAAGGGTTACCCATTTCCACAGAAGGAAAGCTCAGGTGCTGGGTCAAAAGGAAAGGAAAAAGAACACTGTGGAGAGCATTTCCCCTCCAGCAAGACTGAATCTGTGTTTAAATATCGTCTGCCAGCTACTTATATCACTGCCATATGTCTAGCTGGCAATGCTGCATATAAAAATAAGTAACATTAATGTTAGGGAAGCAGTAACAGAAATGACAAGTTCTCCATCCCAATTTTATTATACCGAGCCGCTACCTCCCTCAGCCTCCCACCCAACTGACGCCACCTCTCTTTGCCACCCGTTGGGATCTGTTGGAGGATATAAATCATAATATTTACTCAAGCTGATGTTTCCTTCCCTAAAAACCCATTCCAGTTTCCACACTTAAAAGAAGTTTCCTCCAGGTAAAGTTAACTTGACCAGGAACATCACAAACAGCTCATCTGTCACCTCCCAACGGGAAACTGACAATGAACACATCACTGGCAATCAAAATCACCAACTGCCTAGCTAAGGCGTCACCCAGAGGGCTGGGATTAGGCCTCTCAGACAGAGAAGTAAAACACTGCCCCAGGTCAGCAGAAAACGAAGGAGGCGCCCCATGTAGGTTCACTGCGCACTGTTTTCTTTTTCTAAGACACAGCCAGGCTACTCCCTCCTTTCTGACTCTGCCTGGTACCGGGACCAGTCCCTTCCTTTCTCAAGCTTTTCATGCAACAGTGACTGGCAATCTGCAAGGAGTATTCAAAGGCGAATGCTTAAGAGGGAAGAAACTCTGGGCTTCCTTCCTTCCCATGCCCTGGTGTTGTGAGTGACAGAGCTGGGATTTCCACTCTGGCCAGCCTGTAGGCTCCAGATCTCACGTCCTCTACCCATCCAACAGCAATGTCTCTCAGGTCAGAAGAAACAGACTTGCTTTGGCCACAACTCTGAAGGAATATGGAGGTAGGAAAAAAATCAAATAACGCAGCACAAGATCAGCAGTAATAAGGACCTAGCTTCAGAGGGCATCAAGACCCAAAAGGAAAGTGTGTGTGTGTGTGTGTGTGTGTGTGTGTGTGTGTGTGTGTGTGTGTATAAGAAGCCCCTTGTTCACCAAGTTAACTCCCCTACAGGGGAGAAGAAAGAAGCCCCGTGGAGCAGGAAGCAGGAAGCACCATTTACTACCAAGAGATCAATGTTTACTCTCAAGCTTTCCATTAACAACTGTCATTTCGGTCAATCTCTTTTTCTGCACTAAGTGTAGTATACCAAACAGTAAATGGATCCAAGGCCACCTGCCAGAGTGGAGCATACACAATCCATTCTATTTTTATCCCGTCCACTCTTTCCTTGGCCCACCTAATATAGGCTTTCTCCGCTCCAGCACTACCGCCATTTGTGATCAAATGCTTTAGAGAAAGTAGGGTTCTTGTTCTAAGAATTGTAGGTAAACAGCGCATCCCCAATCTCTACCAACCAGATGCCAGTAATGCCCCCTCCAGTAACTGTGACAACTCAGCAGTCAAGCTTACTGACTGCTTTTCCAGAAGACCCAGGTTCAGTTCCAGGACCTCATGACAGCTAAGAAGCCTCTGTAACCCCAGTGCCACAGGGATCCGATGCCCTTGTCTGGCCTCCGTGGGCACTGCATATACATGGTACATAGGCATACACATAAAATAAAAATAAATAAACCTCCAGAATGCACACGGGTAATATCAAATATCCTCTAGGTGGCCAAGCACCCCAGTTGAGACCACTGTTTGAATACCTCAATGACAGGACACTGCAATGAACACACATAAAATACCCATCTCTCCAGGGAACCTCCATGCACATCTAAACCAATCACGGTTGATGGCAATCTGATACTAAGGATGTATGTTTAGCTTTAGTTTTTTACTCCTGTAACAACAAAGAATGTAAGAAGGAAAACTATTTTTAAATGAAATGCTCAAAAGCTGATGACAAGACCTGAACCCTGTGCCAAATTTTTGTACGACTTAAAAACAAGACAAGCGGGCAGTGGCGGCCAGCTGCTGTGACACATCGGGAGGAGAGCATGGGTCACTTAAATAAAGTCGTGAAGTAAGACATAACCTGACCCCAGCAAAGATAACAGGCTTAACCATTTTACAGGAAATACGAAGATTAGAGAAGCATGCTGCACGGCACGGTGAGGGTATAAAGGGCCTCAGAAAATGATCAGGACTCTGTTTAAAAGTAACTGGGTTCATCAGCAGACACCATCACTGGTAAGGGTTGCACACATTAGGTCAGACTCAAAGCACACCAACCAAAGGATCATCAGCAGCATCTAGATCGTGAGCACGGACAGAGGGACACTCAATAGCACCGATGCCGTGACCTGTGACATACCAATGGCACTGATGCTGTCGCCATAATTATATTCTGATAACCCTGTTAAAAAGTCTTTGTTTTAAATATATATTCATTTAAGCATCTATTAGTACAGTAATAAAACTGTAAAGATCTTTCTAGTCCAAAGAAAAAGTGGCAGGGAAAAGACTGAATGAGGAAACAGGGAGCCACCGCCTCAAGCGGCACACTGAGCTGTGAGGATTCCTTGTACTCCCTCTCCAGGCCTCATAATTCGAAATGTCGTTTTAAAAACTACAAAGTAAAGCGTAATCTGATTCGCACATGCTCGTGGAAGCCAGAGTCATTTTACATGAAAACCACCCGCAGCTGTCTCAGCGGCCGACATGTGCCCTGCACTGGGCAAGCACGCCCACCTCTTGCCCCTTCTGCCACAGAAACATCAAACCTCCAAGAGCCATTGCAGAGATTTCAGCCGTCATCGGTATTCCCTATTGCTTCTCTTTAGTAAACCACTAGCTTTTCAATCAGCAAGCTCCTTTACTAACGAAATGAAGCGAGAGTTACAGTGTGGAACGCTTCTCTAATTCCAGCCCTACATTACTTTCTGTAATGGATGAGTCTTAGTAAGGAAACTTTAAAAATACTTTTATGTCTTACCATATACTGTTCAAATTAAAGCAAAGCCCTCGTTTTAACTTAAAACACAAATAAAAGGTTCCCTGTTGCTGCACCATGCATAATGGAGATGCTCTACATCTTTCAGGGTCCAAGGCTCCTCTGCTGCCATTTACCTAACTATGGGCTTGCAGTGGTTTCGATGAGAATAACCGCACAGGCTCATAGATTTGAATGTTTGACCCCCAGAAGATGGAACTGTTTGGGAAGGATTAAGGTGTGTCCTTGTGGGATAAGGTGTGTCACTGGGGGTGGGCTCTGAGGATTCAAAAATCACATCAGGCTCAGTGTCAACCCACCCCCACGCACGTGTATGAGTACGTGTACGTGTACATGTGCCTGCGGGAGTGCGTGCGTGTGTGCGTGTGTGCGTGTGTGTGTATCTGTCTGTCTGTCTGCCTGTCTGTCTCTGCAACTTATGGGTCAGCTATGAGCTCTCAGCCACTGCTTCAGCGCCTTGACTACCTGCTGCCATGATTCCCACCGTAAAGATCATGGACTAACTCTCTGACACTGTAAGCAGGTCCCTAATTAAATGCCTTCCTAAGCTGCCTCTGCCGCAATGTCTCTTCACAGCGACAGGACAGGAACAAGACAGTGCTCATCACTACTGGCTTCGCTTTCTGGAATATTATTGGGTACCTCATGGAATTTCTCCTTTTATTGTCAATATAACCACTGCCACTCCTGTGGAGTGAGCGCCTGGTCTGTGACAGAGGCTCACCTCAAATACTGTTTCAAGGCACTTGTCACTGTCTTCACTTCCCAATCTACAGAATTCTCCAGGTCCAGCTCATTGCATGTTTTTGCATCTGGTAAACAAGCAAAAAAGAAAACAGTTAAAAATCTGACCATCCGAAGTCCTAGCAACCTCACGAAACTTCCAATTGTAAGCAGCGAAAACAACAGATAATTAACCCTGAGCTTCTCCAGAAAAACGTTCTATGCAATCTTTGACTAACAGCATATGCTACCTTGTATTACTAGACATTTCATCCCTCAGAGAGTCTACGGGAGACATAAAGCAACAGGGTCTGACACGGAGATGAAACGTGCAGAAGGATGAACCAGGCATGGCAACAAGCCAGCGAATGTCACCTCCGCAGTAAAGGCACCATTCAGCAGCCACAGCTTGGAGCATGGGGCACTACCAGCAGAACGGATATGACTTGTCCCCTTTGGCCCTGCTACTATCCACTGTGTTATCACTTAAGAAACGCTATCACCATGAAGGTAGAATGATGATTAAAATGGCAGCGTGTCCATGGGAGAGAATTCCTATATTTGTATTCCTTACAGCTGTTTTCAGCCCAGACAGAAACATGTAGACGTATCAATATACCATTTTACATTAACATGTACAATTTTTATTTCTTTGTATTAGTAAAAAAGAGTTGCAATTAAGACATAAAGTAAAAAACAAAATCTAGTTAAGTGAAAGAATGCCTGTGGGTAATCCTTCATGCCAACATCACAATCTGTTTACCCATTGAGAACACTGGATGCCCCTGGAAGCACCTCTGTCATTTACTCTCAACTGAGCTAGTTTATCTGTCCTAAAAGTGAGTTGCAGACATTCTGTTTCCAAATGCTCTTTTTTAGAAATACCTAGTGTTCTAAAGAAAGGATATACAAGCACAAACAGAAAGAGAGAAAAACGGGGGGGGGAGGGAGAGGGGGGGGAGAGGGGGAGGGAGGGGGGTGGAGTTTGCAGTGTTAATCCAGGGTGAAATAAAATAACAGGACAACGGGGAAGGCAAACATTCTGAGCTCAGAGTCATTCTTGTCCTTCTGGCCAGCACAGCTGGAGCCTGGGTCTTCCAAGGCTGAGCTTTAATGCTGCACCAGCCTGGAACAGAAAGCCACCCCGAGCAAGAAAGTCCCACATCCAACTGAATGTCTGATCCTCATCTGTGCCAAGGGGATCTAGGCAAGCAAATGCTCCCATAAACTAGTGTGAGTAGCAAACAAATCATGGGCAGACGTCCATGATTATCACAAGCAGCAGGCCACTGCCACAGCCAAGCCATTAAAAGCAAGGACATTGGGCGGTGCTGCTCTCCCCAAAGAAAGGAGCAGAAAACAGGTTACACGGAAGGGTGTCAAGCCACCACTAGAAATGCATGTGGCTTTCCACACTCCTACAATCAGGAGAGGACAGTCAGCAACTTCCGGGAAACGCTGTCTCCCTCACTCCAGAAGAAGGCCTCAACTAAAAACAAAGAGCTGGCCATCTCCAGATTTCCTCCTCCCTCAGGCCAGATTTGTCTCTGCAGGGAAAAAAGCACCTTGTTGGCACTTCCTTTTCAAAAGCAGCAAAGAAAAGGCTGTCAAAGTGCGGCCAGCAGACAGGCTGAGCACGTGAGGCCAGCAGACAGGCTGAGCACGCAGCCCCAAAGCTTTGGGCATGGACATGCTGCAGCAAAAGGATGCTGCCCCATGTTGGACTCAAACTTTCCGAGAGTCGAACAGGAAGTGGTGGTTATTTTACAGCCACAGCATCACACATGTGAGGTCCATTACTCAAAGGGCTGGAGACTTCCTAGGCACTCCAGCATGTCTTGATTACAGCAACTGACAGCAATATGCAATAAACCACAACAATGGCCACTGACACTGATTACATTCTCATCAGTCCCGACAATCCAGAACTCGTTTGTTACTGAGCCTGTCAGGCAAGCCACAGACATGTTCCAGAAATCAAATTAAGCACTCTGATTAAAGATGCAATCCTTTATAACTAGGACTAAATAATTCTGTTCTAACAGCTTTGCCAACCAATTACTTCTGTAACTGATTATTCTGCTTCTCATTAAATCAATTATTTAAATCTCATTTTAACATACCAGTCAGATAACATTTTCAATAAACTTGCTACAAGCAAATAACCATTTAAAAATCCAACAGGCTTCTAAAGGAACTCTTTTATTTCCTACTTTCTGCCAAATTATTAGTCTGTATTTTGAGATTCATATTCTTTCTATGGAAAACTAAGCCATCCTTCTAAATTCACAGAACAAAAACAGCTGTCACATCAGAAGTTAACGACTGTATGTCTATGTAATTAATCATCTATTAGATGTTCACTGTTTTCAAATATCTCAATCTTACCTGGCAGTCCTTTGCAATCAATGAGCTATGTGGAATTTGTTAATTTATTTAGGGTTCACACCTAAAATATGCTTCAAGTGTTCATTTAGAATGTGTTCGACCACAAGTGAGGGGAACTTGTGTTTCCTTCCTGACCAAAGAACATAACTCAATAGTTAAAAGTCTAAGCTAACAAGCAGGGAGCCCAAGAGCTGGCATTATTGTCATGTATGAATGTCCTGACTGTACAAGCATGGGTCACTTCCTTGAAGCTGCAAAGTGCCACCCAGACAACATGGACTTGGGCCAATTCTTTTTTTTTTTTTAATACTTGAAGAAGCAAAAAGTACATGTGTTTTATAAATATGCTTTAGTACCAAAAGTTGTGTTTCTAGCTACATTACTCATTTTGCCCAATCTATACAAGAAATTTTCCAACAAATAAACAAGAAAATATTTTATTTTTGTTTTCTATAGCTCTATGTCCAAAAAATAAATAAAACCACCCAGTCTTATAAACTAGGCTTATAAATACGAAGGTCCACCAGATCACATATGCATAAGCACATTTCCCCAGAATTCCCCGCTCTGCTCTTGTTCCATGCTAAGGTGTGGGGAAGAAAGATTACCAGGCAGTACAAACCAGTTCTACTCAGCCCTAACTCTTCTAACTCATCTTCACATTCCTAAGGCACTGAGAAGTAGCAGGGATTCCCAGATGCTCCATCTTTTACTTTTCCTTGCCTTCCTCATCAGCTACATGCTCCTAGGAAGGAGGGAGGGAGGCAGGGAGGGAGGGAGGGAGGAGGCAGTTGAAAGACAGTGAATGGGAAGAGGGAGGGAGAGGTCAGGGAGACGGCAGGAAAAGGGGAGGAGAGTGAGGGGGTGGAAAGAGACAGGCTTGTCTACTTTAATCTCAAACAGGAGAAAGACCACAGGAAGGGAATAAGCTAGGATAACATGAAGCATACTCAAGGCCAGGGTCACCACAGACGTTTATGCGGCTGGAAGAATACTTAAAACAATTGAAACTGAAAGGTAAATCTTCCCACATAAGTGCCAATCATTTCTCTTTTAAAAAGATCTAAACAGGTCTCAAGAACTAGAGATCAAGTGAATGAATGGTCCTCTTCTAAATACATAAAATGGTTTGGAACTTTTTCCAGGATGTTTAAAAATTAGTTCTCATTTTCATGAAGAAAGTTCCATCGCCCATAAAATGGAACCAAGAAATTTTCAAATTTGAAATTAACATATTACTTTCAGGATTGATTGGCTTTTAGAAGAAATTAAGCATTTGGCAGGCTGGTGCCCTTCTCCCTTTAGGATGTAACCTTAACACGATGTAAAGGGGAAACTCAGCGAGAACATCTGGGGGATGTGTACACATGGTTATTCAAACTCTGGAGTAATTTTTTAAATGTATTAAGTGACTGAATTTTAATATCTAATCAGGATGAAAAGAATACCTCAAGAAAATGGTAAATTGATCAGGAAACAGTGATGACATCTATTTTGTCAAGAACTAAGGTTTATGTTATTAACAAACTAATGAATGGTATTGCTGCTACACTTTTGATGGACAATCTGATTCATATTACAGATTACACACAGATTAATACAAACAAATTCATTCCGCACAGCCCTCTTAAGTGAATTATTTAATGAGGAAATAACAAGTTAATGTCTTCATGCCAGTTTTCCAACTTCCTCTGTTTGCAAATGTTACTGAAAACATAATGTTTTCTATGCCCGCAGCCTAATGAAGTTGTGACCTACTTGCGTGCAGATGAACTTACCCCATGCATGAACATACAGGGTCAAAGGCTGATGTTAAATATCTCTCTCTGATTTATTTTTCTTTTTAAAGAAGCTCAAGCTCACTGTTTGGCTAGAATGACTAGTCAGCAAGCCCTGGGACGTTCCTGTCTCTCCCAAAATGCAAAAATTCAGCACTGGTGTCCAAGCATCCATACTCATGTAACTTCTACGTAGGCAATGGGACTAAAGTCAGGTCTACACACATGGGCAGCAAACACTTTACCCTCTGAGCCATCTGGAAGATCTCTCAGGTCATGATTTTTGAGGGCTTTGATATTTGAAATTTTAAAATACCTTGTGAGTTAAAGGCTGTTTTGGGATTTTTTCCCCCCAAGAGCAGAGAAACTAACCTTTAGAGCTAAACAATATTGTATGTGTAAGATTTTGTGAGACTAAGTACAAATTTCAAGACCACAGAAATATCCTTGTTCTAAGTTTCCTTGAATATGAACAAAGTAGTGATCAAAATAGGGCCAGGATCCTTTCGGCCAATCCACCACCCAAATGTGCCTCTGGCCTAGATGCGGTCTGATGACAACATCTTCCAGTCCTAAGCACAGTAGTTAAGGTTTCTAATTTTAAGATTAAGTAGAACAGATGCGGTGTGCCTATTAAAGTCTTCCAGCTGCTACTGGACCACTGGCAACCTGACTGTTTAATCTGGAGCCCACAAACAGTGAAAAGGAAACCGTGTTTGCCAGAATTGCACACCCAGGCTAAACCAGAGCGGCAGAGAGTGGAAACAGCCCATGAAAGCAAATAGATTTTAACAAATCTCTCCAACTGGTGATGGGCAAGTTTTCCTGTGGTTCATAGCTCAAAAGGTGCTTGCTTAAGAAACCCTTGCTGCAGAGACAGCCCAGTAAGCCGAACTGCCCATAACGTGTCAGCTGGTTTTCGTCATCTTAGTTTATACTTCAAAAATAAGCTTTCAATATAGTCAGATTTAAATGAATCTCCAGAACACCTGAAGGCATTGTTAGTATTGACTAATTAGAGTGAGGTATCAAATAAATTCTTATGTAGCAAGGCCAAAATGACTGGTTTGATAACCAGGCCCTCCAGGCTGATGAGCTATGATCACCCTTCAAGGGCAGCCTGCTCTGGTGGGGGGGGGAGGGGAGAGGAGACATGAAGCGTTTCACAGGTTGCAAATAATGCAAAAGAGCCTTACCATTCACAGACTACCTAGGGTAACAAAATCAATTCACTCTGGCTTCTTGCAGTCTGCCAGGCCAAGGGACACTGTGCCATCAGCACAGATGGAACATGGATCTGGAGAAGTGCCTAGTGAGGACTGCAGACAACCAGTCTCTGAGACACAGGCCCTCCCTGGCAAACGACAGTTTGGGAAACTATAAAAGTGAGTGAATCGCCGTGGTCTTGTCTAACCAAATGCACTGTCAAGATTCTGGACAGGCAGTCTGGAAAGCAGGTACATCACAGAGGCCTGACTACTGCTCCACTCTGAAAGGCAATGGGGAGAGGCATCAACCCACAAGCTGAACCCTTTTGCCTTCGTTGCTTAATAAGGGACAGGGATGTATGGATAATCTCAGCTGACACAAACACTCAGCCTCCGCTGAAGAGGACGCAACATATCCAAGTAACCAGCACAAGGGAAGGATGTATTCCTAAGTACACAATATATACCACTGAAACATTAAATAGCAAAGTAAATGAGCATAAACAGTGAATGCATGGAAAAATGATTAAAGAGGCATACCCATCAACATACTCAGAAGTCTCTGGACCTTTGAACTCACCCCCACAACTCTGTACAATCCTTGGTCATTTATACCTATTGAAAGAGACAAAATGTTAGCAGGTTACAAGATCACAGTGTTTTAAAGGCTGTCAAACCGTTACATTTTTTTAAAAAAACTCTGATAACTTGTAATTGCAGGTTTCCTACATGTAGACTGTAAAATTTATTTGACAAAACCAAACGTTCATCAAAGTGGTATATCAGCCTTGCATTTGTATTTGACAAAATCAAACGTTCATCAAAGTGGTATATCAGCCTTGCATTTGTGAGCTGTGACTGGACAACAGCCTCATAAAGCGGCATTCCATGCGGGCAAGAACGTCCAATGCTGAGCAGGAGTACAAAGTAACCTGAAATGCAGCCCAGCGCAGCTCCCACGTGTGTGCTTCCATGCTCGCCTTAACTGACTCGCTTACGTTTCCCTTGGGACGCCCCAACCTTTTTTAACACGAGGATTAACACACACTACATACTATGAAAGTGCTTAGCTGACTCTTGAAAACCATGCCCTGAGTCTGTTTTTAAACAACAACATTGCCATACACTCCACCCAAATTAATAAATTATTCAGCTTAATGCATCCACTCTCTGTTGAAAACTCATGTGTCCTTGAGTACAAGAGACAGAGGCAAAAGAAATGTTACCCAAATATAACTTCATGTGTTAAACACATGTTGGGCAGATGTCTTCATGCGGGGTCTCACACACACAAACCAATTGTTAAGTGACACTTGGCAAGTAATCAGGAAGCTATGATGGGTAGCCAGGTTAGGTGAGTGAGAAAATGTCCGGTGTGACTACCTCACGTGTGAGTTGCTTTAAGAGGAAAGAAGGGGTAACAGATGAAGCCTTGCAGAATTGAAGTGACTGTTGAACCAGGATTTAAGAACTAGAAGCTGGGAGCTCACTACAGCAATCTCACTAATCTCATGCTTGAAATGCTTTCAAGCAAATAAGATCCCCAAAAATGTGGCTTCATCTCCTTCTTTTCAAAGAGTTGTAACTTGCTGACTGTGTTGGCTTCTGTACTACAAATGGGAGAACTAACAAGAACACACTGACTGCCCAGGAAAAGTCTCCAATAGCCCAACTTTCCAGAACACAAAAGCCCAATCACCAAAGGTCACGGAATCTCCCCACAAGGACTATTCTTTTAAGCTCCCTGCCTGCGGAAGCAATAAGACTAATCCAGAGTCCAAAGTGTAGGTTGGGAGCCACCTAGACACAAGCAAGTCGAGAAACGTCTGGTTTCTGGGTGTTCTGTCTGGGAACACGGGCAGTATTCCTGTGTTATGCTAGGAAGGGAAGGAGATGATGTGAACACGTCCTATAAACCATAGCACACTACACACACAAATATCACATTCATAGTCCAAATCAGCACTCCTTTGTCATCTACTGCTTCCTCTTTGTTTTGTGTGCATGTGAGTAAAGGCTGACATAAAGATGTCTGGGCCTTAACCGCTTCTCTGCCCCAGTATTTTCTGAGGCAGGGTTTCTCTCTGAACCTACAAGTCACCATTATGAACAGACTTGCGGGCCAGAACCAGGAACCTGTACACTGTAGCACTGTGGTCCTCACTTATCGTGCTCAGCTTCTCTGTGGGTATGGGAGCAGAGGATCTGGACTCAGGTCCCAGGCCTGCACAGTGAACACTGCAATCACTGAGCCATCACCCCCATACCAGTGGTTTCCTCCCCTCCCCCTCCCCCTCCTCCATGCTAGGCAAGAGCTATACCAGCAAGCTATATCCCAATCCCTCCTCGCGCTCATTTTCTAAGGTTCTCAAATAGTGTGTGTGTGTGTGTGTGTGTGTGTGTGTGTGTGTGTGTGTTACAGAACCAATTGTGAAACAAGAACATTTACATGTTAAACTTCTAATTCCTAACTGTGTTTAATTTTTCCACCATGATCTTTATTGTTTATGGGTGTTTTGCCTACACATATATGCATACTTGCAGCAGCCAAAGAGGCCAGGGAAAGGACACCTGATTCCCTGTACCTGGCTGAGTTGCAGTTGAGTCACCTTGGGGGCGCTAGGACTCAAACCCAGTTGCTCTGGGTGAGCAGCCCGTGCTCTTAACCACTAAGCCATCTCTCCAGCACTCCTGAGTTTAAACAAACAGTCTTGAAAAGAGGTATTAATTTCAAATCAGTCTATCAGGTGGCCCCAGTCAACATGGTTTATATCCTAAGGAGAAATGTATTTGGAAACAGACAGTGGCAAAGAGTTGACCACATAAAGACACAGGAAGGAAAAAGCCTCCTACAGGCAAGGGAAGCCCCTAACAACAAATAAACCATGCTGCTGACTTTACACTGGACTTCTAGCTCCCAGAGGGGTGGGGGAGATCGTGTCCATGTACAAATCATGCACTGTATGATCCTTCGCTGTGGCAGCCTTAACCCAATGACAGATGTCCCTTCTCTCTCAAGGTCTCATTAGAATCAGGAGGGCAGAACTAGCCCACAGTCTAGACACATTTATCCAGACAGTGACCATCCCAGCAGCAGAGAACCCCCTCCCAAAGGAGGACCAGATACAACTCAGGAGAAAGGACAGCACAGGCCTGTCAAGACTAAGAAATGCAAAGGAAGCCACCAAGAAGCAAGAATCAGAACCAGCTCCCTTCTCCCAGAAGGTACGTCCCGAGGGTTTTTAACACCCCGGGATTTTGTTCAGCACTACTCAATTTAAGTAGTTTGACCTCAGTGACAGAGTCAAAAGAGCAAGTCATATTCTGCAGTCAAACAAATGCAAGCATCTGTGAAAAGTGCCAGAAATACAGAGATGAAAAGAATGTCACCTCAGCAATGATAATCACTCTGTGATTGTGATTACTGTAGGATAATTGATCAAGTTCAACTTCATCAACCTGTGAAAACTGGAGTTAATTATTAATCCATAATAAAAGGTGCCAAGAAGAGTGACAGCTCAACACCGTGTTTTCCTTTTCTGTACAAAGGCAGGTGGGAAATGGCACGTTAAATAATCAAATCCTAGGGGATTTGCTGCTGCTTCTCATGCTGTTCTTAAAGGCTCGAAGTAGCCAAACAAGGGCCTGAGCACACCTTTCATCCACGGCCACACACACGTTCACAGCAACACAGCAATCACAGACAGCTGAGGATGTAACCAAAACTGCCAGCATGTGGAGCACAGCTTCACCAGCTGTTCTCCTTTTTTTATTTAAATTAGAAACAAGCTTCTTTCACATGTCAATCCCAGTTCCCTCTCCCTCCCCTCCTCCCCTTCCCCTCACCGGCCCCCTATCCCATCCCCTTTCTGCTCCCCAGGGAGGGTGAGGCCTTCCATGGGGGATCATCAAAGTCTGTCATATCATTTGGAGCAGAGCCTAGACCCTCCCCTGTATGTCTAGGCTGAGAGAGCATCCCTCTATGTGGATTGGGCTCCCAAAGTCCATTTGTGTACTAGGGATAAATACTGATCCACTACCAGAGGCCCCATAGATTCCCCAGGACTCCTAACTGACACCCACATTCAGGGGGTCTGCAACAATCCTATGCAACAGTCTGGGTTCCATGAACAACCTCTTGTTCAGGTCAGCTGTTTCCGTGGGTTTCTCCAGCCTGGTCTTGACCTTCCCAAGCCCCCTCTTTTATTGAGAAGAATCGTTATGCTGATCTCTCAGGGTAGAATTCTGAGATAAGCCCTGATTTTTCCCTTACTGTTATATACACCCAACAGGACAGGGTTTTAATCAAAACAGACTACAGATGGGTACAGACAAATACCGACTCTGCAGACCACCCTTCATGGCTCCATTCAGACTCGTACCTCAGCTGACAAGAACACTGCCCCCTCATCCTCACAAACTTAACTCACCTGCCATGATTTATCCACCAAATATGTGCCAGCCAGGATTCCAGCTTCCCAAGCAAGGCAAGGAGTAAATTAAGTCCTCCTTCCAGTCAAATCCAAGGGAAACCCAACTTTTCTCATACTATTCCAGAGAAATCCGCTCACTTTGTTTTTTTAACATAACTCACCATTAATTCCTTCCTAAATTCAATGTTTTAGTGGGAGCCTTTGAGGTCCAGCCAATAAACCAACATTCACTCAGCTCTCATCTAGCAACCTGCTGAGCACCTGGTATGCAACAAGGTACTTAATGATTGTGGAATGACATAATCATTCACCTGCATTTGTGTGTGATGACAACAGGGTAGAAAGTCACTAATGTTCATATTCACATTCACAGAATTTACATCAGACGTCTGCAATGTCTCGCTTTTTCAGTAGGACGTGTATGTGCATACACAACCCCAACTGCAGTCTATATATCATACCAGCATTGCAAAAGCTAATTTCCCATAAATCCTAGGATGAAAGAGGCATACAATTTCATGCATATGTAAGTAAAACCATTATTTTCAGCATATTCTAATTACATAATCAAAAATGCTAAGGTAAGACTTGAAAACAAAAGGAAAAAAACAGTACACATAAAATCAATAAAATCCTCACAGCATGGCCAAAATTGACATGCTATAGAGGTAACTTTAAAAAATTATAAGCTCACAAATATTATTTTATGTCATTGAACAAAAAATGTAAAATTATGCTCCATATATGCATGCTCATCCTCAATAAATGTACATGTAAAGGCCAGCATATAGCACACACTTCCCAACCAACTATTTCACTGGATTGCAGAAAACTAAACAGGCTGGGGTATAAAACACTCCTATCACAAACTCAGCAATACATAACATTTTCAGGTTCTGTTAGACTGGTATTAATATCAGCCTCATCTTAAATACAAGACCTAAACATGAGTTACTGTGTATTAACAAGGCATAGATTCACCACTGTAAATTTCAGGCACTGTATTTATTTAAGTCTAAAACTTTGGAAGGAGAGCGAGTCATCATTTGAAGTCTAGCACATGTGAATGGTGCAGAGATCAATGTAAAGCCTACTTCTAAGATTGACGTCAGCTGTGTAAGCAAAGCTCAGTACAGTACTGAAGACCTTGGTAGTCTCATTATAACAAACCAGAATCCTGGC